AACAGCTCTCTCCTAATAACCTTCACCCCCCCCCCACCCACTCCACCCCTTTCCCTTCTCACCCCACTTCCACTCTCAATTTTAAAACCCAATTTCCTCGCTGTTTCGTGAACCTGATTTGCAGCGAAAAATATTATTTTCAACTCTTATGAGATCGCGCCCAGGACTCCTGGTCCGACTACCGTATCTCAGGAACTTAACACAGAACGTGTTCTGTCCCCCCGTCTCCCCCCTCGAATAAAATGAGCTATTTTGCTCCATTTTAACATTAAAACAAATGGAGACAATTGTAGGTTTTGAACGGGCAAAGTGGGTTACCAATGAAACTGACATTGAGTCACGGTTAGACTTGTCTGCCATCAAAACCCCATCGTTTAGGAAAGATTAAAGCATACCTGAGTTAAGTCATATTTATCTTTGTTTCTCTCTGTATAATATATAGATGTATATCTATATATATTAAGAAATAGAAGCAACGATGTTGAAAAGATCCAAAGGGAAGTTTAATGACAAGTTTCTCGCGGTCTGTCCAAAGCGTTGCCTCAATTCGTTTAATCAAAAGCAAACTAAACAGTACATTAATCACCTCTCTGCTCACCAGTCAGGAGGCCTCATTGCCTTACAAGAATAATATATTATTCTGACACTTACATTTACAATATCATTTTTTTTTTTGGGGGGGGGGGCAAAAAAAAAGAAAGAAAGTGTACGTGGTATAATTTGGAGGTTTTGTAAAAGAAAATACAAGTGTTACACTCTTCACATAGACAGAAACAACCTCCATATTTATTGTTTTCTCACCTCTCCAGTGATTCATCATCCAAATTGCCAGGACATTAAAATGCGCCATTAAAGTTTCGAAATTAAAACATTTCTCCCATAGTTTATGTGTTGTACGCCTAAAGTGCAGACTGCAATTAAAATATTTATTTTATTTCGAAGGAGGTTATTTCAGAATGGCCCCTCAATGTATCAAAGGTGTCATTTAAAGCTACTTTTCTCCCCCACTCTCCCCCCACCCCCCAAAAGGCTCTATAAACTCTGAAGGAATCGCCATAATTACACATTTGCTTGTTCAGTTAAGTGTGTCTGTAAAAAAGTTCAACACACGTTCGTTTGTAAGTCTAATTGTCTGCTTCAGACCCCAACAAAAAAAAATACCGGGTAAGTGCATGTACAACAAATATAAGACTTTATTTTAAGGGAGAGCGAAGGGGGGGGAAAAAAGATGTCATTTACATTAGCAAATGCAACTTAAAATATATTGTTATAATGCCACATTGTGGCTCATTATTTCATTTCCCATTGGGGCCCAATTAAATTTACCAAAAAGGAAATCCCAAGACATAAAATGATAACAAGGGGGGAAAAAAATGATTCTATTACATAGTCAAATCGTACAAACTGTGATTAAATTAACGTGACAGGTTGGGGAAAAAATATGGCTTATTACGGTGGAATTTTATTTGGGGGGCGACGTGTTATTTTCACTTGTGTTATGGCAGGTTGGCAATTGGAAATGGAGGAGAGAGAGAGAGAGAGAGAGAGAGAATATTTTCTGGCCAACATTGCCCATATGATACCTTTCCAAGACCCAGTAATATTCACCTGCGTTCAATTCCTCACACCATCTCTCCACCTAAACTGAACTAAAATGACCCACGTTCTGACCTGTGCAGAGTTCCAGACTCTCTGAAATAAATCTTGGGAGTTCCTCTCCACGTCTGGTCTCCTGTTCCTACCCACAGCCACCCGTCCCTCACCTCCTCCTCCTCCTCCTCCTCTTCTTTCCAGAGCCTTAGACAGGACAGTGTCTCCTCGTTTCTGCCCAAGTTGTACCATGTCTGGCTTTTGGTGTTGAGAAGGTACAGTTCTCGTGTCACCTTCACCCCCCAACAAACAGGAATTGGGCCACACGTTGTAACGAGCAAAACTAGAGATGGGGGAACACCATAACTCTTAGGGGCCTTCATCACTTAGCGCACACCCAACCCCCCCACACACACACACACCCCACCTCTCACTCTTGAGCGCATAACACACACACACATATATGTAGATGCACAGTCACTCCACTTGACGGTATATGATTTGGAAGCTCTTTTCAAAGAGTTGGCACAGACACGATGGGCCGAATGGGCTCCTTCTGTGCTGTATAATTCTATGATTGTAGTATTGCCCTCACTCGACGCGATGATTATTATTATCATTGATTATTATTATAATTGTTATTATAAGATGCCATCCCGAGGCGGGATGCTGGCGCCTGATGGTTACCCACATGTGCTGCATCAAGCGACAACGAACTCATTTTATCAACTGACCATAAGATACACACACACACACACACACACACACACAAGCGGTGCACAATAAAATCACACCAAAGCACAGGTCACAAAATTAACATTCGCAACAGACAAAAGCGATTTGTTATTTAAAGAATAATAAACTGGCTTTAATATACCGAGAAATAAAATAACAAACCGAGTTTAAGTGGTTTGGAACTGTCTAAATTTGAGAATGGATGGCATTTAATATTGTAAATTTGTGGATACATACATTTAAACAAGGTCTAAAAACTATCCATTAATGTAGACAGTCCAATTCTCTCTCGACCCCCCCTCCTCCCTCTCCAGAAAATATCTTCTTGCTGGAGTTTTAATAGAGCGAGACAGTGGTTTTTTTTTATCTTGAGTTTGTTTGAACGTAGCATTTCAAAATAAGAAAACGCTTATATCGTGAGTTTGTGTGAGTGAGAGGAAGAGAGAAGATGCTCTGTATAAATGCAAGTCATTTAAGCGGTCTATCGTGTCAGGAAAAAAAGTTTTCATTTAAAATATTATTTGCTAATAAGAGATTTTATGAAGTGAACAGTTTTAGAAGGGGATTTAATAGAGAAAAATGATATTTAATACCCTGAACCTAACAACACAGTCGGGGTCGAGTACAGTATGTGGAAATGAAATTGCTGGGGTGTATAATTGCTGTGAAATAATATTTAATGGCTGGGTGAACATTTTAAAAAGAGGTGGGGAGGGGGGAGAGATAAATGTGCACTTTCTCGACCGGTTTGTTGAGGGGGTGAAGCGGTTTTGCTCTCTCCGTGAGCTGTGACTGCATCAAAAAACGTTGTCTTTTTGACTGTGTTCAAAGCTTTCCATCACCGCAAACCATCACCACATAGTGAGACATTCATTCACATCAGTGGAGAATAATACATAATCTCATACATAATATATATACACTCACATTTATATATACACGTCCATATATATAGATGTATATATAAATTAGTGTATACATAACACACACACACACCTATTAACGTAACAATTCGGAGTGAGTGGTTGAAATCTGGCATTTTTGGTTTAAATTCAACCCCCACCTTTTCCAAGTATTTTGTTCCCCTGTAGTTTCTTGCAAGAAAGTCAGAGAGAATTCGGTATCAAACACTAAGGCTGCGTTTATAAGGTATTTGACCAACTCCGGAATACCCCCCACCCACCCCACCCCCACCCACCCCACCCCAGCCCCCCTCTCACCCCCTCCTACAAAATGCCACAGAAACAGGAGTAAATCTGGACCGAGGTGGAGGAGTTTCTCGCACCAGGTTCACAAACCCCCGGAATTAAACGAATTAAAAATCTTGTGATTCGAATAACGAAAAGACAGCGGGTGTCACCCACACACTCACACACCTCTCTCTCTCTCTCTCTCTCTCTCTCATTGCCAACCTCAGGTCGAAATGAAGGATAAAATAATACTAGTCAGTCATTATTATAATCCATCCGATCCGAGATGGTTTTAAAAAAAAACAGCGACGCGCGTTAAACCAAAAGCACATTCCAAGACTCCGAACGGCGTTGACCGATAACGCATTACGCACCGCTTCGATGTCACGGAAATGCGCTCAATTCGCTGCAGAGCAACGAAACGCCACCGCTTTTTTAAAAAAAATAAAATATATATATATATATATATATATAAATCTTTGCGCTGATCACATCGGGAACCAGAACTTCTGACAAACAAGTGAATCAATCCGGACTCGGTTGGGTCTCAGATCAAACGCGCTGCAAACAGTGGAGTGATGGTGTTGCCCTCTCCCCCTCTCCCCCCCTCCCTCCCCTCCCTCCCTCCTCTGATGCATTTCATTTCATTTCACGCCCAGAAGGTTATATTTGTTGGGAGTGATTTTTTTTTCCGCGCGTGTGTGTGTGTGTGTGTGTGTGTGTACGACAGTGAGAGTCAAGTCGTCTTGGTTTGAGAAAGGAGGGTGTAATCCACGCGGGTTTCAGGAGATTGTGTCAGGCGGGTAAAGGGGGGGGGGGTTGGGGAGTGGAGGGGGGAGGGGGGAGAGGGGGAGGGGGGAGAGGAGGGGAGAGAGCGAGAGGAGGGGAGGGAAGGGGAGAGAGAGGGAGGGGTGGAGGGATGAATGTTAGAGGCTACAGTCATAGGCTGTCGTGTTGGCTCCTGATGCCTCCAACCGAGGCGTAGTGAGCAACGACATGACGTGGGCGAGTTAATGATCGTTGCAAAGTCACCAACTCTCTCTCTCTCTTTCTCCCTCTCCCTCCCTCCCTCTCTCCCTCCCTCCCTCCCACCCTCTCTCCCTCCCTCCCTCTGTCTCCCTGTCTCTCTCTCTCTCTCTCTCGGACATGATCAAGCACAGCCCAGAAATCTGGGGTCACACAAAAAAAGAGAGAGAACGAATCAGAAAAGCAAAGTCCTCACGCAAGCAAAAAAAACAACAACAACTCGGACTCTTTCAGCTCTCGACTCGAGGAGGAAGGAATGCCCAAGTTCTCTCGTGAAAAAATAATTGTGTCTGCATCTTGAGAAAAGAGAGAATATTCTATCCTCTCCTCTCTCTCTCTCTCTCTGCTTCCCTCTTCCTAAAGAAAAGGGACCTTCCCCCACCCCCACCCACCTTCCCCCACCATCTCCCCCCACCCCTCCACTTCCACCCCACCCCCCCCCCCCCCCAAAAAAAAAGCAGAAGGAAGAAATGAAGTTATTCATCGCCTCGGAATGAACACATCACTGACTGTCCACGCGTTGACTTTATTGTGAACTCGTGGAAGTTAACGGCCATCAGTGGAGGAACCCAAACATCTCGTCGCCTTTCCCTCCTCTCCTTTCTCTCTCTCTCTCTCTTTCTCTCTTTCTCTCTTTCTATGTCTATTTGGTCGTGAAAGGAGGAGACGAGAAGGAGAAGAAAGTACACCATCAACAACAACAACAACAACAGCAGCAGCAGCAGAAGCCAACAACAAAATAGACAATGATGCAGTTCCCCCTGGAGTTGGGAGCACATTATTTGCCTCGTGAACCCATTCACGATTACAGGTCACACCGATACCGGAGCTTTATGATCGAGGAGATCTTAACCGAGCCCCCAGGCTCCGGCAAAGCCCCAACCGGGGGCGACTTACTGAAATTCGGGGTTCACGCGTTACTCAACAGCCGACCTTACCACAACCATTTAGGTAAGTGACAACAGCTCCCCTCGCCCTGGCCTCAGTTTTAGTGCATTTTCAACCTCAAAAACAACGTTGAAAAGTCTTGCTCTTTGCATCTATATGTATATCACATACACGATTATATATATAACATATATACATAAGGTTAATTCTTGCAAAGCGCCAATGTTTGCTTGACTGGAATACTGTATCCCATCAACTGCGGCCCGCGGGCCTTCTTAATTCCTTTTAAAGCACAGTTTGGAACCCTTCAGGCATGGAAAGTTGCATAAAATGCAACAGTGCTATATATATATATATATTACATATATATAAAATATACTATTATCCTGATTAGCACAGGAAAAAAACAATCCAACTCACCACTAAACAGAAATAACACCAGTCAAGTTACAACGCATATTAAACATTCACCAAAAGGCCACACAGCAAAACCAAACCAGTTGTACTCACTCCCTGGATTTGGGCTCTCAAGCGTTGAAATGACTTGCGTTTCAGTATCTAGAATCGGTTCCTGGAAAATGAATAACTTCAACAGAAAAAAAAAATGAACGTGTTTATGTGCCTTATAATTTAGCAAAATCGCTTTACCCGCATCCGCCTGGTTTGGGACTCATGCAGTTGATTGAAAAGTATTCTCAATCCCAAACACAGTAGAATAAAAAAAAATCGCAAAGCCATCCTGCTTAGATACAAAGGGCAGCATTGTGTGGCAAACGTCAACGTTTTTCCTTCACGATTAATGTCTCTTTCATTACAATAATCCTCGCATTTGCTACAGCGCCTTATCACGTCTTCCAGACGTCTCAAGGCGCTTCACGGGATATACCGTAAAGTGAATTGACTGCATATTTTGTGGATGAAACACGGCAGCCGGTTGCAGTCGCGGATTGAGTGACCAAATTATTATTATTATTATTATTATTATTAAGGGATCATTACCCCCATCTCGCGAAATGATTTCTGATTTCAAAATAGAAATAAATGTATGTTTTTTAAATAAAAGTTGCGATCAATCCAAGGACGCGATTGCTTTTCAAATGCATCCAGACTGCGTGAGTAATGTGAACTACACACTCGATGGAAAATGAATTAGCGAATAGTGTGCTAACTCGGAATAATTTCCTGTTTCCTACGAGACAAACTGGTTTATATAAAGGGCCACTTCTGTGGGAACTTTGCTCCACTTCACAGTATTTACGAGTTGTTACTAAATAAAATTATACTCAGTGCTCAGTCTAAGGGAAGGTCGATAATTTCCTGTTTCCTAAAGAGAACGGTCTGCAAAAAAAAAAAAAAAAAAATCCTTTAAAAAGAAATTATTTATTTCCCACTGTGATAACCAATTGTAACTCTTTTAATTTTTTTTTTGGGGGCGGGTGGGTGTGTGAGGGAAGAAATCAACAGCTTTCTCTCTCTCTCTGGAAAAAAATAAATCAACATGGTGCTGGATATACTTAAGCCTTATATAAATATATCTGATACATACAAAAAAAAACTATGACCATTTTTTTAGAGCGATCGTAAGGCGTTAAAACGAGGGACCGATTGAGATGTCCCTATTGAAAGGGGGGGGGGGGGGGATTACTGGCAGAAACAACCGAGTGACAGGCTGACTTGACGTGCAATTACAGATTTTAGTGAGAAAGACAGGATATTTCAGCTTATGTAGATTTCACAGCAGTTGAAGCTGACACTGCACAACACACACACTCTCTCACTCTCTCTCTCTCTCTCTCTCCTTTACGCACACAATCACAGAGTCGATGACAGGTTTAATACGAGCGCAGTTGATGGAATATTTATTTCGGTACCAAATGCTGGCGGTGGGTGACTGACCCTCGTGTCCTCTCTGTTTGGCAGCTGGCCTGAAGTCGGACCACACCGGGGTCTTTAAATTCCCATTGGGCCCCATCTCCTGCAGCCTGACCTCTCCCCTGGGTTCGGCGCTGGTGTCCGGGGGCTCGGGTCTGGCCGGCAGCGGGCCGGGAGCTCCCCATCTCCCTCTGGACTTGCACCTCAGGTCCAAGCTGGACCAGGGTGGACCCGAGGCAGGGAACAAGGCGAAGAAAGGCCGGAGGAGTCGCACAGTCTTCACAGAGCTGCAACTCATGGGGCTTGAGAAACGCTTCGAGAAGCAGAAATACCTATCGACACCAGACAGGTAAACACTGCCACACGAGTAAAGCCTTTTCCCCTTTGACGGGCACTGTGCAACACATCTATTTGCAGACACACAGTCAGAAATCTAATAAAACATGGGACGAACCCCACTGTGCATTATCCCGCTGGAAAATAGGTGGATTTAGATACACAAGGAAGCAAATTGTACCTGGAGATGACAGTGGACTCGATGCAGTCTGTTTCGGCGCTTGCATTTCAAAATAATAATAATAACAATACATAATAGTACATAATAAATAATGATAAGAAGAATTCAGGAGCAACGTTGGCTTGCGCAGCGAGCACTTGAGGGAAAAGTGCGTCCGGTTGAAATTTAGCAAAAATATATTCCACCTCAACAATAATTCCACCGCATTCCTGTGCGCAATTGGCGGCCACGTCCCGCCCGCAAATCGCACAGTAATTTCTGTGAAAACGCGTTGATGAAAGCGCGACAAAGGCTCTGTACCCGAATGCAAGTGCCATCATCATTATATTATCGTTATTATTGTCAGTCAACAGTTCTCGGAATAAGTGAGGGCGAGTCAATAACACACCAGAACCGAGATCTGTTGCGACAGTGTGTGTGTGTGTGTGTGTGTGTGTTTCTGTCGAGAGAGAGAATTAAAAAAAAACCCACTCGCGCATTTTTTTCCTCCAATTCGTGAAACATTTCCAGAACCAGGATTTGACAAACGGTATAAAATAAAAATTTCGAAGCCTGTTTTCCTTGAACTTTTTTTAAAAAATCTTTTTTTTTCTATATAAAAAAAACACACAGCAAAGCAACTTGAAAGTTGAGAAGAGAATATATATATATATATATATTTGCAGGAACAGAGGAAATCTCTATAAACCCAGGCGGAATGTCTCGCTCTGTAAGCGCTACCAGTTTAGGCTCATTCCCTTCCACTTTCCCCACATCCTTTCATTTACACACACCCACACACACCCACACACCCACACACATACACCCACACACACACCCACACCCCCACACCCCCACACACACACCCACACACACCCACACACACAGAGTGTTTCTCTATTTGTGCAAACACGTGTTAAATCTCTCGTAAAAGCGATTGTGGAATCTGCTTCAAGGCAGTATATATATATTTTTTGGTATAAGTCGTGTATTCTATGTTCTATGTGTTTCATTGCACGTCTCGTTACCTCAATGGTACCTTGTTTTTTTTTATTATTAATGGGTGTGGGGGGAATAAATGCCAGGGCTTTGCAAACCCCTTTCTCTCTCTCTGTGTCTCTCACTCTCTCTCTCTCTCTCTATATATATATATATTTAAAAAAGAACTATTTTATAGTCCAACTGACCATCTTCCCCCTCCCTCCCAATCTTAAACTGTAATGTTTTTTTTCTCTGTAAACTCACTCAGCTGAGATGTAATGAACTAACTAACTCTAAGGTGGCCACATTTGGACAATTAACTGAATCATTTATTATTTAACGACCCGAAGTAAGATCACAGAACAACAACCTGCACTCATATAGCGCCCCTCGTGTAAGGCAGCGACACAGAGCGCTTATAACAGACATCTATAACTCCCTGTATAAGCTATATAATCACATAACATATATATATATATACTTTTTTTAAAATATAGAATAGATTTAGCGGAGTCGTTGGGTCTCAGTCAACTACAGGTGAAAACGTGGTACCAGAACAGGAGAATGAAATGGAAGAAAATAGTAAGTACAGTATTTTCTGACCCTTTTTCTGCTCTCAGTTAAGAAATGACACTGCATTGAGCAGTGGATGGGGTTTGGTTCAGTTTGAAAACAAAACGCTTTGGTCGCTCAATCCGCGACTGTTTGTGGGGACGCTGCTGTGCCCAATCGGCTGCTACCAAATACACAGTCACTCCACTTCACAGTCTATTCTGTGAAGCGCTCTGAGAGGTCGCGAAGACGTGACGAGGCGCCGTATCGAAGCGTAAAGGTTATTCTGACGAGCGCTGCCTTCATTTTAAGGTGTTACAAGGCGGAGGGTTGGAATCCCCTACAAAACCCAAAGGCCGTCCTAAAAAGAACTCCATCCCCTCAAGCGAACAGCTCTCGGAGCAGGAGAAAGCCAAGGAAGCCGAGAAACAGGGTCGGACCTCTCCCTCTCCGTCTGAAGTGAACCAGGAAGAGTGAAGCTGGCAATGATGGGGATGCTGTGGTTTGTCGTGGAACAAAAATAAACTCGTCTGTGTGTACTCTACCCATCGGGGAAAGGTACCAAACATTAGTGACAGACAGACAGACTGACAGACAGACTGACTGACTGAGGGAGTGCAACTTGTCTCCTGAACTTGACTCCTCCGCCTGAACTGAACTGAACTGAACTGAGATGGTGACAAAGCAACACAAGTGGAACTTACTTACACTCAGACTCTCCAACGTTGGCTTCACCCAACCCTGGAGATGGCAAACTCTCTCCCCTATCCCCACCCACCCAGACTCCAAGCCGAGGGGACACTTCTGTCCACACCCCCAACCCCCCCCCCCCCCCCCCTCCAGACTCTTCGTGAAACTCATAGAAGAAAAAAGAAAGAAAAAAGAAAGAAACTCATGGCATTTGGTGGAGCCCCGGAACCATTTACGTTTTGCCCCCAAAACTGGAACTGCATTTCCAACCTGTTATGGACCGGGTTTCAGTCTGGGACCAGGACCAAGGAAGGCAAGTGGTCAATGAAGAAACCGAGAACTTTTTTTTTTTAAGTGATCGTATTTCCCTTTCCATTTGTACAATGTTTAGAATATTCTAGAACCTTAAGGCACAATTTTGGCCCCTCTGACAATTAAAGATCAGAATCGAAAGTAAGTAATTTCGTGTGTATTGTGGGGGGGAAATAAATCGTTATAAAATACCAATTCAATCTGCTTCCCCACCCATCAGGACATTGGCTATTCAGGGCAAAGGCCACTCATATTTTTTTTTTTTAACGTGTACAAATCCTGTGGTGTCTCATTTTGTCAAATAGTTTGTGTGGTTTTTTTCACGGGGGGGTGGAGGGAATGACCAAAAAGCCATTTGATGTGTTAGTATTCAACGCAGTGAATACCACTGGAGCGCATTCGATTTGTACTAAAAGTTACAACAAAGAAAAAAAAAAGAGTATTTCATTGCATTAGGTGCGAGAAAGGGGCAAACGGTGGCTTGAAGTTTGCCAATTGTGGGCATCTCAACCCCACAGCAGAAAGTGGAGCCAAAGAATTGTTATCAAATAAATGTGTATTTTTAAAATTTATATTTCTCTATATACCTACCTTTACACAGATATAAGCAATAAACGTTTAGTCAGCCGTCGTATTTATATTTTATTTTAATGTGTTTTTTTTTTTTTCCCCCCTTTCTGTTTTGCTTTCTGAGTCGGGAAATCGAACCGTTTGCTGAACGGCGGTGTTATAAAAAATACACATTTCTCACCATACCTGCAAGTGTGATGGCACGATTAATGCTCGCATTTAGGTTATTTTACAGGGTTGCCTTTTGCCGAGCGGATCCGGTGTTTATGTGGGAACGAATCCATTCCTTTGTTTGCTTCCTTCAACAGTTCTTTAGAATAAAACATCGAGTTTTATTTTTTTTTGAAAAAAAAGGCGCATTCAGGAGTAAAACAGTTAGAAAAAAACATAAATCGTTTCTCTAACTCTCTCTCTGTCTCTCTCTCTCTCTATATATATATATATATATATTTTAAAAAAAACATGCGTTTGAATCAGTCAATCTCTGGGTTAATGTTTGCCCTCTTTCACATCGATAGACTCTGCCTTTGTAGGTTTCCTTTCACGAAGCGGCGTAATTCTCGTCTATTCGCTGTTTGCGAATTACTGGGTCTCTTATCCGCTGAGTCTGGCTGGCTGGATTCCTGGTGTCAAATGAGAAATTAATAGCTTCTAATTTACACTCTTTTCCCGTCCGTTTCTTATTTGGGAATGAATCGGGCATTCATTCAGTCGGATATATATATATATATATATATATATATATATATATTCCGACCCATTAGAAGCAGCCTCAACTCGTCACTAAATGCCTGGTTGGCAAAGCGTACAGTAATAATAATAATAATACTTGCATTTAATGCGGTGCCTTTAAAGTCCAGACCTCTCAAAGCGCTTTATAAAGCAATTGCTGTCAAGTGTAGCGACTGTATATTTGTAGGCAAGTAGCTGGTTATATCAAATTATGATGAGATATATTACAGGGGCATTTTTTGGTGTGCAATTATATATATATTTATATATATAAACTATTAAAACTTAAAACTATTAACCAGTTTGTTGCCCTAACATCCGAGGACAGATCTTGGAGTCATAATTAATATGTGGAACACAGATGGTCATCAATACTGCAACCGTTTGAACGGCCAATTGGACTAATGCAAAGGATCACTGTTGAAGTGTATTCCGGGGCAATGGATCTCTTAGTTATTGAGTGCTGTTAAACCATCTAAAGACCCCACTGTCAGCCCCAAAACATTTCACACAGGATAATAACATGGGATCTCTCAGCAAAACAAGATTACAGAAGGCCCAGAAAAAACGACACTTTCTTTTCGTAGCTTTTTTTGGGGGTAATTTCTCTCTGTCTTATTTATCAACGTTTTAGGAAAGCGTTCAATTATTTTTTATTATTATTATTATTTTAAGTCAGTAAGGTCAAGATAACGCGTCTAATTCATTCTCTGGGGGTTATTTCAGAGTTTTAGAAGGTAAAATCGGATTTTTTTTTAAAAAAATGTTTTTTTTCCGTACGTACTTTTTTTTTAAAAAAAGATAAAACCCCAAAACAATTTACACGAAAAACGGGAAGAAATGCTTAGTTCTGAATCCGCAGCATTTATCAAGTCAGTATCTTTACAGCCACGGAATGTCTTTCCCTTTTTTTTAAATATAAAAAAACCTAACCAGTTAATTCAAATATTTTGAAATGACATTGTTAAATAGGATTATTTCAAATATTTGGAAGCAACTCAAGTGGATATTTGGCTAACGGTGTTCGTTTTATTTAACTATATATAACTATAGAGGCGTGTGGGTGGGTGTAGGCGACCAACAATATTAAAAAGGACTTGTATATCCTCAATTGGATTTGGGAGTGGAGATGGGATGAAATAGCAGAACAATTTGCTACCAGTGTGGTGATATAAACGCACGGATATAATAATTATTATTATAGCAGGAATTACTCTGGGAGTTCAATTTTTTTCCCCCCACAGACAGTATTTTGCTCTCAGACTGACTAACGTGAGGGGATGGATTGAATGGTGGATGAACCGTCTCAGCACAGTGCGTTTCAAGCCATTTTGTCCCCCCCCTTGAGTGTCAGATAATAAATAATAATCCTCTCACTGATCACGACGTTGAGACGTCTCAAAGAGCTTCACGGGGTGTCCTGTGATGTGAAGTGGCTGCGCATTTTATGAGCAAAAAAAGGCCATAGTTTTCCCAAACAACGACGACGCAGCAGAGAGGAGAGTGCAAAACTGATGCAGAAATAGACGCAGACAGATTTTTCATTGCTAATCTGCATTTCAAACCACCGTGAGTTACCAATACTATTGCTGCAACCGCTAAAAAAATAATCATTGCACTTGAATCCGACGCCTTTTTCGCGTCGAAAAAAGATATTTCTTGCCGGGATATTGGGTGGAGGGGAGTCGCTGTGCATTACGCAGGTTTCTGCACATTTTATGGGCATTCAAGACCAAGACACGGAACACATAAAAGAAAAAATCGGCCCTTTTTTGCACAGGGAATAGCACAACTCCGGATAAAAAGTGTTGTCAGAATGGGAAGAAATGCTAATTAGAATAACAGACAGTTTACCAAATTGTAACTGAGAGAACAGACGAGAGAGAGAGAGAGAGAGAGAGAAATAAATTGACATAATCAGCGAAAAAGATGACACGACATTTTCGCTCTGAAAACGACACGTACTTTTTTTTTCCAGAGGGAATCACTTTGTCCACACATAAACATGTTCGTAAGGCGACTTCCTCTCTGAAAAACATGTGTCGTTTACAGAGCGAAACATATCATTTTCATAAAAATCACATTAAAAAATGTGCGCAAAACCACACAGCCATTAGCACTGTGAATATTAATCATTATTGTTAATGTAATCGCTTCCCTAAAGTACAAATGTTCTGATAGCAAACGGTGGGGATGTTTTTTTTAAATTTCTGCTACACTAACGGATTGGGCTTTTATTTAAAGCGACAGCTGTAAGAAATCGACCAAATGTCTCTCTGTGGTACATGAATTTGTCAAAAAGTAAATAATAATAATCCTCGCGTTTGATTGCAGCGCCTCATCGCGTCTTCGAGACGTCTCAAAGCGCTTCACAGGATACACTGTAAAGTGAATTGACTGTGTTTTTTTGTGGGTGAACTTCGGCAGCCGATTGCGCACAACTGTATCCCACAAACAGTCGTGGATTGAGTGACCAAATTATTTATTTGCATATGGATATATTAAAAAAAAACAGTATTTTTTAAAAGCTAATCATTTTATATAATATCTTAGAGGTGGTCAGACATACCCTCTCGATTGTTGAACTTCGAAAACAAATAAACCTATTGTATAATAACAAACAGTAATAATAATAATAATGATAATAATATCTTGCATCGAACGGGAAAAGCGAAAGAGCCCAGAATTGGGATAAGAACCGTATGGACTTTACCGACCGATAGAAACTGAGCGATAAAAGAGGTTGAGAAATAATTAGATAAACACAGTACCGTTTCCCTTAGAGCTGTGTCGAGTGCAGAGTGTGTGTGTGTGTATATACATATATATATATATATATATATTTGAACACCAGCAGACAAGGAAATCCAGAACCCCCCCCCCCCCCCAAAAAAAAAAAAACAGGTTAAACGGTGTGCGTTACAGGTGTAAAAATGGGTGTAATTGACATGTGTGTGGAACCACAACTGTATGCCTTCCTGTGATGGTTATCAGATGAGCGACTGAGTCTCTCTCTCTCTCTCTCTCTGTGTGTGTGTGTGTGGGTGTGAATTCAGCCTCAGTTGCTTAATCCCCAATACATTGATCTGCGGAGTGAGCAAACCCCCTCTCTCCCTTCCTCTCTCCCTTTCAATTGCCGACAGTCTGGCTCTCTGCGTAAAACAAAAATACTTAACTAGGCAAGAAATTTGTAAATGCATGAAAGACTTCCAAAAAAAAACCAGATGACCTCAGAGTAAATGCACCCTCCGACCTTCCCATAATCTAAGCAATCCCAATCTAATAGCTTTAAACCTGTCCCAATTCAATGGGATATTCCAAAGCTTTATTTACGCAGCATTCAATGTTGTCTAAACTCTTGCAAATGTTTTAATTGTCTGATACTCCCTCGACTTTTCTTGACGTGAGATGTTAGGTGCACGAATCCCAGTTTTGCTTTGGTGAAGTTTCATACTTTTTTTCGTTGAAACAAAACTCTTGGAACCCTGCCTTCTTTCAATGTTAAACCAAATGTTTTTTTTTTGTTTTTTTTTTGGGGGGGGGGGGGAGGGGGGTGGGGGGGAAATGAGGATAAAAGGGGTAGAGAATCATTCAAAACTCAACATTAGAATTCAGATCGAATCGTCCAAACTTGTCACACAATCCTCCTGAATGGGATGGCCACATTGATTGGGGAAAAAAAGCCAATAAAAGAGTGTCCCACTAAGCAATAATGTCTAGAATAAGGAGGAACACACATGTTAAAATTAATGCCATGGGATGATTAGGTTAAACGGCCAATTAACCTTCCATTTCAATGGAGAAATTTATCCTAATTTGATCTAATGGCTGAAATTATTAGTACCGCTGTT